AATGACCTAAATCATGTGCCCCTAGTTCCTCCAACTTATACTCACTGCAAACCACCTCCACAAGGAACTGAGGTCAGCTGGTAAAATACAGACTTTGGAAATGTCTTTCTTTCAATGGCACACATAGTGTACAACAGCAGAGATAAAAGACCTTCCTATAATGCAAATATATTCTAGACAGGAGTCAGATACATTCTGATGGGGTTAAACTGAACAAAAACGTTAAAATGAACTGGCCACATCTACACCAGCCCTGCAGTTTTATTTGCTGCTGGCTAAACACATTGAACCTGATGGAATTTTCTGAAAGCACGTGCTTTGATGCTTTTGTTTTGAGCAATTAATTCAGTTGCAATTCTGTATCATACAGCTCTGTATCATCCAAGCCACGCCCCATTGGATGCCTTTTCTCTGACACTGTCCACTGCTGTGCAGATAGCTCTCTTTAATATGAAGGAAAGCTCTGACTCCAGAACCATGGGAAAACAACAATCTTTCATCACCATCAACCAGAAAATTCAAAGCTCTATAAATGATGTTGGCTTTGGGTATAAGCTTTGGGTATAAGCCCCTTTACCTCATTTTGCAGTTGTTTTTAGCAGCGGCAAATATAGATTTCAGAAAGCTGATGATGTTTAATGCTGTTTATATTGAGGCCTTTCTAAAACGAAGAGCTTAGAAGCCAACCGAATGCCATTAAATCAGGATGATTGTATTTAAGTTGACTCTTTATTGTTTTCATTAGTACAAGGAATTTCTTTGAACTGCGACCACTTCATGCATTGAACCAATCAATCAATTGACCAATCAGAAAGTGTCATCTGGAGAAGCAGATACTGTTTCCATTCCCAGTCCATGAGACAGACATGTTCAGTTTTACTTTATGGCACGTATATCACTCTCAGTTTGTATACAGGAGGGTGGACCACATACACTTGGATTATGCCTACCCATCTCCAACCTGATTGAAGTTAGAGAATTTTATTGGTTCTGCACTATGTACACTTTCAGTGGCTCTCAGTGTTCCAGTCATGTGACTTAGTGAATGCCAATTATGTGACACTGCAAGGAAAAAAGTGTTCATTACTGTCTGAACACCTCAACCACACTAAATATCATATGAGAGTTTTCAATTACAGAGACACTTGAGAGTTTGTTGACATCTGGCAAATGTTATCAAAGGGAAAGCACAATACTTTATTTCTGGTCTCCTGGACTCAAATTTACTATGTATATTTCGGCCAAACACTTTTTCATAGAGATAACACCCCAACTGCAGTTTTCTGTCCATGTCTCTGCTTGTATTAATATTATCTCTTCCTTTGCAGAGTTTATTATTCTGTGAATTTTAGATTTGCCAAAGCTTTCAGATGACTTCATTAATTGCTCTCTGGCAAACAAACATGCAATTGACATTTGTGGTCTGAAAATATGAAGAGTGAAGGAGAGAGAAGGAGAGACATTGGAGAGAGAGAATGATAATTGCCACGGAAGAAGCGTGTGTGTCTTACGAATACGGAGTGCGGCCGACCTTATTAGAGATGAAGATAGCATAATTATTCACCTCGGTTCCCTGGAGATGTAGCAGTGAACTGATTGGTTTTAATTAAGTCTGAAAAGGTTTTCAGATGGATAATAATCTTTCAAAAAGGGAGCAGAAAAAAAAGAATGCAAACATATTTTGGATGCAGTTCAAGGTTTTTAATTAAGTTTAAAAGAGACATTTAATCTAACTTCTTTGAAGTACAGTGCAGTTCATTTACTTTTCTATTCTGTTGTCACTAAGGATAAAAACAGACAAATTGGAAAATCCATCAGTCTGAACGACGGAACAATGAAGGAGGTTTGATAATCAGACAGCCTGTGGCTTCACATGTACAAAGGGAGAGTGACATCATCAAATGGACATCAACAAATTAATGTTATGTTAGGTTTTTCAGTTGCAGCTCATGAGTCAGTGGACCTATGCAATTTCTGTTTCAGCAAATAGCATTATGCATTTGCTCTTGCATATACGCAAACAACTAAATGGGTAACAAGCCCTTACCCAGGAGACGCTGCAAATGTGATCAAACACTGGAACTGTACCCATAGTCCCCATTCATGCCTCCTACATTGCAATTTGATTTCCAAACTGTTCGTTATTAACAAATAATCGAACCTAGTGCACTTACAACTAACTGACATACCCTGTACTGCAACTACTGTAAGACACAACAGTCACTCTGTACACTACCAAGTGTATGTGATCCACCCTCCTAAGGTCTTATTGGGTTTTAATAATGGACTTACACTTTGAAATCACTGATGCAGTGAATAGGTATGTAACTGCTATGAAGGCACAACACAGCATGCGTAAGGTGTTTGAAAAGCAACATGCTTAGTTTTATCTAGAACTCATTAAGACGTTTAATATATAAAAGACCCTGTAGCACACATAATGTTGTGCAAGGCATGTTGCTTAGAGAAAGTGGTGAGAGAAAAATCAAGAAGTGTGGGGACAATTTCATTGGCAAGACAAGTTACACAGCAGACCTGGGTATGTTGTTCATCCATCCATCCATTTTCCAAACCGCTTGTCCTTTTTGGGTATATCCTATTAAGCGAGACTATTTATTACATAAATAATCTATTTATTTAATTTAATAAGGTTTTTGATGTCATCGATTTCCCGGGAGCAATATCAAAACATAATTTACAATTATTCAACCTATTATCATTCATCTTTCCAAAACACACACGCTAATACTTCTGCTTGAACACAGAAACACAGACAGCAAAACCCGAGTTCATTATACTTAAGTAGTGACCCTTGTTTTGCGCAGTTTATAATTTTCACACCTCTTATTTTATAAATCGTACTTTCATATGGCCAAAAATTCCATACTGTACATTACAACATGTCAGTCATGAATGTAATCTTGCTATACGTGGATCTCACGTAATTTTCTCACTATCAATGCGTTTGTGTGCATAATTTTCCGAAATTAAAATAGTTGTTTTTTTTTTTATTTTCACATATGACAAGAGATAATTACCATCATTTTCGTTTTCTATGTCTTCACAAGACGTGGTTATAGCGTTCATAAAAGATTAGGGAGGTGGTGGTGGGCAATAGGGGAAAAAAAAGATTAGGAGAATTTTAGGCTTTCTTATTTGACCGATTATAATAATAATAATAATAATAATAATAATAATAATAATAATAATAATAACAACAACAACAACAATAATAAATCCTATAGAGCATTTCTTAATATATATTATATATGAATAAATCACTATTCACAATCAAATCCGATAACAAACAAGGAAGATAGACATATAGCTGTCGCATTAAAACACAAAACTAAAATAATTGATTTGTTAATAATAAAGCATCGAGTAAAGTCAAACTTATAACGATTAAAATAAATAGTCAGAGAGCATATTAAATGTAAACCCCAGCAGGATGAAAAGTACAGCGATTAGATTAGAGAAACACTGTCGTTTTCGTTGCGTCAGCGAAAGACTGCTGAATATGTATCCATAATTTTTAGGTAAACAGATTACATTTTATAAGTTTAATTACAAAATGCAAAGTCTTAAGGCAGCTGCCTCTCACGACATGTTTTAACAATGTTCTATGACAATAATGATCTGGCATTGATATCTGAAGAACATGAACAGCCAATGATAACAGAGTAACGCGTCTCCATGAGGTATACTATATACTATTTTACCATTCTTTGACAGCTGTTACAGCGATGAAATCATCCACATATGCTAAACAAATACAAACAGCTCTGCACTAATAGCAAAAATCAGTACAAAGCCTCTGCTCCGAATACAACTACCCTGCTTAATGCACTTACTCGCAATAAAGCGGTTTGGACGGATATTAACTTTAACGCGCGCTAGATAAAAAAAAAAAAAACTGCGCTCATCAGAATGATGTATAGGAATTTCTGCATGCATATTTCAGCCCATTAAGTTACTGATTGCTTTTATCAGCATGCTGCTATGAGTTATACTGAATGACAGATATAGATATTTTATTAACAATTAGGCTAACAGCTTACCCGTATACGCGATTACAGCATTTGTGAACTAGCTTGCTATACAAGTCAGTTATAAATTACGACTTCACGTGAACGAAGAGAAGTATTATTTCATTTCTACGCTGTGGCTTTGCTCCTGCAGATTTTGACACCTTTAAATTGCTTTCACGTTCACATTTTGCTGAGCTAAGAGTGATGTCTGCGGAAAATGATGAGTAAATAGTCTTGATAGTTGTTGTCATGGTCTGAAATAAGTAGTGGGCAGGTGTACTATTCACAGTAACTTTAAATGGTTTACATTAATTTTACCCCAAGAACACTGTCCCCATCGTAGCTGATGACAAAGTAAAATGCTCCCACTGTTTGGTGGCGCAGAAGTTTACAGCCCAGTTTATTTGGCGATCCACAGAACGGGAAGCAACAGGTTTAGTCAAATTAATTCTTTTGTGGGGATTACATACTTTTCCAAATTATTGGGCACTGCCGATTGGTTCTTCTATTGTACTGTCTGTTTAATAATTGAGCGCTTTAAGCAGTAAACAGCGATGTTCGCGCCTCAAAAATTAAACTATTACACACAGATAACTGAAAATATGCAACTTAACGAGATGTCTGTAAGTTTGGTAATCAAACGTCGTCAAAGAGAACATACTCCACTTTGTTTTTGTACTACTGATACCTGTCACTGTGCATTACTGGCCAATTGGTATTACATGGAATATTACAGTCTGAGTTTGTCTGTTATCGCACTTGCTTTAGGTTCCAGTTTTCATAATGCAGCCTCCATAACTGTTGATATGTGCGGGGGGACACTGATGGCATAACGCAGCTTTGCAGTTTCATTTGAAAGTTGCATGCAAGCTCAGTAAACAGAGGAGCCCCGACCACATGTACATCTGGCCTGTGGAGGAAAGTGCCAGGCACAAGCAGACAGGTAATAACGAGCGCAGAGCCACCCACCTGGCCGTTCTTGCACAGATCTGCCCACATGCTGGTGCCATCACCGCCTCTCATGAGCACGTGGTAGATGAAGAAGTAAGTGCCTGGAATGTTGCAGATGAACTTGCCCGAGGTGCCGTCGTAATTGTTGCCCAGGTTGGTCACCACGTCGTCAAACTTGAGGATCTCATACCCCTCGTGGGGGTTCTTGAGCCCAGCGTAAAAAGCCACCCGGGGGGCTGTGGTGTACATGGCCGTGCTGATAACTCCATTACCCCCCAGACCTAGGGTCCCAGTCCTCCCAGTATCCCCCCTGTCCCCAGGTGGGCCCACCGGTCCTGGAGGGCCAGGCTCTCCCGGAGGCCCTGGAGGTCCAGGCTTTCCTGGCCGGCCTGGCTTCCCTTGCGGGCCCTGCAGCAGAGTGGACGGCGGGTGGACAGCGCTATGGTCGCTGAGAGCCTCGGCCTCGCCCCGGATGCTCGCACTGGTGGTGGTGCCCTTGTTGAGGTAGGGGTCGCACACCATGCGGCAGGTGCCCAGCATCTCATAGTGGCTGGCGTCATTGCCAACGGAGCTCACCAGCACGGGGATGAGGACGACCAGCACCAGGACCAGCATGACCCCAACGGCGGCTGCCACCAGGGTCTTCCTCCCGATGCTGAGTCGGGGATGGGGCTGTGCTGCCAGCGTGGCTCTCCCGGGGGCAGAAATGGTGACTGCTGTGTAGGGGGTGCCGCTCGCCAGTGAAAGGGAGACGAGAATCCCACGGGAGGCGTTGAGGGTGGGTCGGAGAGAGAGAGACCAACATATACACAGGGGAGTGCACACACAACACACACACACACACACAACACACGCGCACTCACAAGCACGCGCGCCCTCGCCGCTCGCAGGCGCACACACTCTCAGACTGGGAGGACAGGAGCCAGAGGCGGCACTCACCAAAGAGGAGAGAGGAGGAGGATGGGCAGAGAGAGAGAGAGAGAGTGAGAGAGAGAGAGCGCGGGAGGAAGGAGGCAAGCCGAGGAATCAGAGCCGGTTTTGCGTGATTGATTTTCTGGCTGCCTTTTTATACAGCGGCTGTGGATCCCTCCCTCTGGCTCCACGCTCACATGGAAAGGCAAGGGGATGGAGGCGCTCCTGCCTCCAGTCTGACACGGAGGAGCTTGGGAGGGAGGTCCCTCCTCAGACTGCTCAGCTGTGCACCAAATGCACAGCTACACCTTCTCTGTCTCACCTTCAATTACCTTTTTCTTTATTATGGGGGCACCTACAGAGATATAGGCTTTCTTTTCTTAAATTAAAGTAGTAAGGGGGAAACATGTAGCAGACATTCAAACACGTCTGTATGCAGGTATAATGGGATAATAAGCTGGAAATCCATAGGTGTGGAGAATCAGTGTCCTGTCACTGTAACTTGTGGTATTATTCTTATCTTGTCTGCTAAAGTCCTTTATGTATGCAGTCATTCACTTTGCAACTTATTAAATAATATCGATTTTTGTTTTTTTAATTTTCTTTGGTACAGGAAGTCAAGTTGTGATGAAAAAATGTGTCTGTATTTGAATGTATAATATCAACCTTAGGAGCCCTGAGAGGCTGATTAAGCATGAAAACTAAGAATGATCCAGGTTCCCCGTATTACTGTTGTATGACAAAAGAAGGAAGAATTTTTATTCTTAACCCCTGTGGTAGAAAGGATGCAAATTTCCTGGATCCTGTATGATATGATGTTGTGCAATAATATGCTGTCACAATTAGCTGTGTCTATCCAGGAATTTCTTTACCATTCAAATTTGCTAAGAGTTAAATGACGTTAATATACAAAAGCAAGTGTCCTCTAAACATTCTCAACAAGAAATATAGCCCACATTATTTTAATTTACCTATTGAGTACTAATATTAATAACTAAATCAGAAAATACATGTATCATTAAAAGTGACACCACTTGTTCCAATTATTTTTATACAGACACTTCACTTGTTGCTAAGTCGAAATTATATGAAATATTTCAGTGTCATATCCTGTGTTCATGTAATGTATCTGTTAGCTATAATTACTGAAGTAGTTGACAGCAATTACAAATGCAGTTAAGCTAGAGTTGCCCGTGGTTTATAATTTCATGGCAGATAAAATAAGAGAAAGTGTCATATTGGATGAAATAGTATGCGTTATAGATTAAGGTTTTGGGGGAGGGATCACCGTCTCCCCATAATCATGTACAGTTCGGCTTAAGGACTGCGCAGTTGTTCACACGTCATGTACTTTTTTTAGGTTCCATCAAATGGAAACATGGATTGGAATGTCTGTGATTTGTAGCAGCGACCTTGCAGAAATATGAATTGCAATAAATGGCTACTTTAAATAATAAATCAAGGGTTTTATTTATCCTTCCATCCATCTTCCAACTACTTACCCAGCACAGGTTTGCGTGGGGGCAGCAGAGGGAGGAGGTACACCCCGGATGGGATGCCAGCTCACTGCAGGGGACATGCATGCTTACACGCATGTATATGTTAATTACACATTACGGACAACTCTGGAAACGACGGAGAGCCTCACTGCATGTCTTTGGATTGCAGCGAGTAGGTTTAAGCTTTATGTATTTTACATAACTACACTTTGAATAGTAAGTGCACAGAGTGTAGTCCATGGTAAGTTCACAAAAGTACTAGATTTATTATTTGTAGTCAGGCTGCATTGATACTACCTGCTCTTGGGTCCTGACAATGTGACCCCTCCCCCGCCAATTAGCATTCAGGTTAGATTTCTGGAGGGTTCCAACCAGGGCATGTGTGTTAAGCACCTTGTCCTTGGAAATCCATGCTTTCTTTGCACAGCATTTCCTTTTCTCATAGACAATTTTATGTTTTATTTATTTTTGCTGCAGAAATAACACCCACTGAGTTGCTAAATCTTTATTAAATAATACATTTATATTTCTCTTTTGTGATCCTGAATTCATCCATCCATGCATCCACCAATCCATTCATCCATCGTCTAGAGGTGTAACCTACTCAGGGTCATGGGAACAGCTGGAAATCTTACAATCATTTCTGAAAGATGCAGAATTGTATATTTCACAAATAAATGCATTTCTGTGGTATATTTCTTAAATCTGTTACATGGCTCTCACATCAAAGACACCCGACTATGTGCAAAGGTCTCCGTCTCCTCTCGCTCTGTTTTTGAAAGCACATTCACTGTGGCAGAATATCCCCTGGCAAAAATGCAGAAGAGGCTACCTGGCCAGCTGCAGCACAGCATCCTTTGGAATTCTGCATGCACGTTAAGAATCGTGATGAAATTCAATGTATGCTTAAAAACAGCCTTACAACAGACAAGGTAATTGGTCTGTCAATCAGACTGAGGAATGCTGAGGAATCTGCTTTATACCAAAGAATGTTGAAAAGTATCTGTAGAAGGTATAACTATAGGAGATGGACCTGCTTCACCTGCTAGTGTAATACTGGGTCTGTCCTCTCAAACCGCAACATCACTGTGCTAGAAATGATGTCACCCTCTCAGAATGCAAATCCATGTAAAGGTTCTCAAACAAGTTACATGCATGAGCCAGCAGGTGTTGTGCTGGTTTAAGACATAGGATAACCTGAAGGTGAGATCCAAATGGGAAAAATAAAACACAAATGACTTGAATAAAAGGAAATTTGGAATTGCGGGAGATTTGGGTGATTATGTTGTCTCCCATCCACACTTGTTTTGCAAGAACAAAAACAGCAGAAGGATCCACATTCAATATGAATTAGAGAGGAGGAACAGAGAAGTAAATATTCACCAATCTGCTTGAAGAAGTTGGCGAGAATCCAGAGCTTTTCTGCAAGGAGACAAACCTAATAAACACATGCATGGGTGCGACACATATTAAAATGCGGTGTGTATTTTTATCTGGCCTTTAACTAGAAAATTTTACACAGAACTGCAGTTATTTCAGTTATAGAACATTAACTTTTTTCACTGCAGTAAAATCACTTCTTTAGTATTGGTGAACAATTCTCCTCTGGCCTCTTCTCTCCCAATTATCTGCTCGTTTGTAGGGTGATGCAGCTATTAGCAGTATTATACTACATATATCACTTTTCACAAACCAGCTGCAACATTGTTTTCTTTGTTTTTACATTTTGATTAAAGTGATAAAGTTTTTCAGTGATAGCTTTTTTTGTTATCCTTCCCTGTTATCCTTATGTCAAACCCTTCTTTTTCTATTACAAAATTCCCCATCCTTTTGCAGCGTAGTGTGCTCTTCTGAATTAAAGGTCACATATCCCATTTCTTTTATAGCATAACTTTTGTGCCTCTGAAGGTAATGTCACATTATAGGTGTCAATTCACTCTATGACATTTTAGTGTCCAGACCTCAATAGATTAACAAAACTATGTCTCAGTTAAATTTGGTCGATAGCATACTGGAGGTTTCACTCCATCAGCTGAAGTCTGATATTTCGACACTTTCTGAATGACATTTTTAACTGGAAAAAACAACATGAAAAAGGCATAATGAACAGAAAATAAATTAATTCCTCATTCAAATCAACTCAAAAATAGACCAGACTTTGTCATTTGTGGAATTAAACAAATTTTTTATCCAGACAACCATGTATACAAACCAACCTTCATAAAGTATACAGACTCCTCTACATTTTCCATCCCTAGTTTCTATGTTGACTTATTTCAGAATGGATCTAATTTCCTTTCACCATCAACTGACACACCACATACACTTTAATGACAATTTTATTAGGATTTTTTAGCAGTTTGTTTCTACTACCTTGCTATGCCCTGAAATGCTCATTTGCGTGTACATTACAAGTAACACTCTACACTATATGTCTATTTGACCTCTTGGTCTTGGGATACTCATCCAGCGTTGCCTATGTAGTTGGATGCATAATGTTTTGTCACCGATCCACATCTGATATTTACTTATTTAGTTTTCGGCAATCTGTAAAAAGAGAGCTCCTATTTCATGTTAAATCGATTTTTTCAATTAACCGCACAACAGCTCTTCCACATTTTAGATGTGCTTTTGCGGCTTTAAAGCTGAACGCTAACGGTGACACTCATTGTTTGCCACTCAGTGGGTGTGAGCGCAGTGACTTCTGCTTGCTGTGACGTCATGCGCATATGCTTTGCAGTACGAGGAACGTAGCAGTAGGAACATCAGATAAGAGGGTGATGATCTGGGACTATTTTATGCTGTAAACAACTACTAGTAGCGCATCAATTTACAATCTTTGTAAAAAAAATAAAATAAAAAAGTATGATAATACGAAAGGAGTAATGGATAATTTGGGAGTCCCTGGCTTGGGCTGTTTTGCGCACTCACTACAGCTTGTGATACACGTGGGGCTCCTATCGCACCAAAATGTAAGTGATGCTGTTGCCATAGTGTAAGTGTTTACTGTGCCTAATTTATCAATCACCATATACAGTATAGGCACATGAAAATCACGTTATACATGGAGTCTGCAGATGGTTCGCTATTATCCATGATTTCAGCTATCAGCAGTAGGTCTTGGCACGTGTCACCTGCAGATATGGGGGAACTACTATACACAAATTATTGTTGTGACTTGTGTATTTTGCTCCTACATGCACTGCATACTCTGGCTTTCTGGCAGGCAATCGGCAGGCCCCAGACACCTCTTTGAACTCCATCTGATTCTCAGGCCTCAGTCGCTGTGCTTCTAAATTATAGTCTGTCCTTTTCTGCCCAATGTGGGTTGATTTAATGTTTTTTACACCGTCTGTTGAGGTGCTTTTTCCTTCATCCCCCTGAATGACAGGTGAGCACAGGGCAGGTGCCCTGAAGCAGATTTCTCCTGCTGCCCCTAACAGGCCTCTGGCTGTCTTTCCATCTGCCCCCCCCCCGCCCAGGACTGGCACCGTGATTCCTCTCCTCTGCCCTTCCCCTCCCCATCTTGGCTCAGCTCTGGACCCTCCTCTCCTACCTACGTTTGGGGCCCTTTTATGTCCCTCACTGGTTCTGCTGTTTCCGGAG